CAGCAGAAGACAGGAAATAATAAAGATTAGAGCAGAAATTAATGCTATCAAAATAAAAACAAACAAACAAACAAACAAACAAACAGCAGAACAGATCAATGAAACCAGAAGCTGGTTCTTTGAAAGAATTAACAAAATTGATAAAACACTAGTCAGTTTGATCAAAAAGAAAAAGGAAAGGACCCAAATAAATAAAATCAAGAATGAAAAAAGAGATCACAACCAACACAGCTGAAATAGAAACAATAATGAGGATATTATGAGCAATTATATGCCAATAAAAAGGGAAATCTGGAAGAATTGGACAAATTCCTAGAAACATATACACTACCAAAACTGAAACAGGAAGAAATAGAAAACTTGAGCAAACCCATAACCAGTAAAGAAATTGAATTAGTAATCAAAAATCTCCCAAAAAACAAGAGTCCAGGGCCAGATTGTTTTCCAGGGGAAATCAACCAAACATTTAAGAAAGAATTAATGCCTATTCCTTTGAAGCTGTTCCAAAAAATAGAAATGGAAGGAAAACTTCCAAACTCTTTCTATGAAAACAGCATTACCTTTATTACAAAACCAGGCAGAGACCCCACTAAAAAGGAGAACTATAGACCAATTTCCCTGATGAACATGGATGCAAAAATCCTTAACAAAATATTAGCCAACTGGATCCAACAATACTTTAAAAAAAATTATTCACCATGACCAAGTGGGATTTATACCTGGGATAGAGGGCTTCTTCAATATCCACAAAACAATTAACGTGATTCATCACATCAACAAAAGAAAGGACAAGAACCATAAGATCCTCTCAATAGATGCAGAGAAAGCATTTGACAAAAACAGCATCCTTTTTTGATAAAAACCCTCAAGAAAGTAGGGATAGAAGGATCATACCTCGAGATCATAAATGCCATATATGAACGACCCAATGCTATTATCATCCTCAATGGGGAAAACCTGAGCGCTTTCCATAATGAGACAGGGATGTCCACTCTCACCACTGTTATTCAACATAGTATTGGAAGTCTTAACCTCTGCAATCAGACAATACAAAGAAATAAAAGGCATCCAAATTGTCCAGGAGAAGGTCAAACTTTTACTCTTCACAGATGACATGACAATCTATATGGAAAACCCAAAAGATTCCACCAAAAAACTGCTACAACTGTTTCATGAATTCAGCAGTTGTAGGATATAAAATCAATGCACAGAAATTGGTTGCATTCCTATTCACCAACAATGAAGCAACAGAAAGAGAAATCAAGGAATCAATCCCATTTACATTTGCACCAGAACCCATAAAATACCTAGCAATAAATTTAACCGAAGAGGTGAAAAATCTATACACTGAAAGCTATAGAAAGCTTAGGAAATAAATTGAAGAAGATAAAAAAAAATTGAAAAAATTCCATGCTCCTGGATAGGAAGAACAAATATTGTTAAAATGTTGATACTACCCAAAGCAATCTACATATTCAATGCAATCCCTACCAAAGTAACACCAGCATTCTTCACAGAGCTAGAAGAAATAATCCTAAAATTTTATGGAACCAGAAGAGACCCCGAATAGCCAAAGCAATCTTTAAAAATAAAACCAAAGCAGGAGGCATCACAATCTCAGACTTTAAGCTATACTACAAAGCTGTAATCATCAAAACAGTATCGTACTGGCATAAGAGCAGACACTCAGGTCAATAGAATGGAATAGAGAACCCAGAAATGGACCCACAAATGTATGGCCAACTGATCTTTGACAGGGCAGGAAAGAATATCCAATGGAATAAAGACAGTCTCTTCAGCAAGTGGTACTAGGAAAACTGAACAGCTACATGCAGAAGAATGAACCCAGACCACTTTCTTACACCATACACAAAAATAAACTCAAAATGGATGAAAGACTTCAACATAAGACAGGAAGCCTCAATCCTTGAGGAGAGAGCAGGCAAAAACCTCTTTGATCTTGGCCGCAGCAACTTCTCTCAATACGTCTCTGGAGGCAAGGGAAACAAAAGCAAAAATGAACTACTGGGACCTCATCAAAATAAAAATCTTCTGCACAGTGAAGGAAACAATCAGCAAAACTAAAAGGCAACCAACAGAATGGGAGAAGATATTTGCAAATGACATATCAGATAAAGGGTTAGTATCCAAAATCTATAAAGAACTTATCAAACTCAACACCCACAAAACAAATAATCCAGTAAAGAAATGGACAAAAGACATGAATAGACAATTCTCCAAAGAAGACATCCAGTTGGCCAACAAACATATGAAAAAATGCTCAACATCATTCATCATCAGGTAAATACAAATCAAAACCACAATGAGATACCACCTGACACCTGTCAGAATGGCTAACATGAACGACTCAGGCAACAATAGATGCTGTCAAGGATGCGGAAAAGAGGATCTCTTTTGCATTGTTGGTGGGAATGCAAGCTGGGGCAGCCACCCTGGAAAACAGCATGGAGGTTCCTCAAAAAATTAAATCGTAGGATTACCCTACGACCCAGCAATTGCACTACTAGGTATTTATCCAAAGGATACAGGTGTGCTGTTTCAAAGGGACATATGCACCCCAATATTTATAGCAGCACTACCAACAATAGCCAAAGTATGGAAAGAGCCCAAATGCCCATCAATGGATGAATGGATAAAGAAGTGGTGGTAGATATATACAATGGAGTATTACTAGGCAATCAAAAAGAATGAAATCTTACCATTTGCAACTACTGTTGCCATTTGCAACACTTATGCAAAGTGAAATTGATCAGTCAGAGAAAGACAAATATCATATGACTTCACTCATATGAAGACTTTAAGAGACAAAACAGATTAACATAAGGGAAGGGAAACATATAATATAAAAACAGGGAGGGGGACAAAACAGAAGGGACTTTTAAATATGGAGAACAAACAGAGGGTTACTGGAGGGGTTGTGAGAGGGGGGATGGGATAAATGGGTAAGGGGCATTAAGGAATCTACTCCTGAAATCATTGTTGCACTATATGGTAACTAACTTGGATGTAAATTAAAAAAAAAATTAAAAATTCTGAAAAAAAAACATGAACAAATCTAATGCTAAAAAAGATAAGCAAATTCCCAATGAAACATGACTTCATTCCTGATTAAATTTCATATAATGTAGGAGTTTGACAAAGACTTTAAAATGAGTATGCTTAACCAGCTCAATAGGATTAAAATTAATAAATGGCATAATATCCATTAAAAGTTAACAAGAAATGATAGGAAAATCAAGCAGAAATAAGAATATTAAGAAGAACTCAGGAACATTATAGATTAAATGCATGTTATTGAGATAATAAAAGGAATCCTAAGTATATAATAAATTTGAAGGCAATACAGTTGAGAATTGGTGAACTGGAAGAGAGTACAGAAGAATTTATCTAGAATGTAGATCAACAATGTGAACTGATTCAACAAATTAAACACCTATGTAATATTAAAGACCAATTAACAATTAAAACATACACCTCAAAAAAAAATTTCTAGAAAAAGAATAGAGGAAATGGCAGATATAAATTTAAAAAAATTAATGGCTTAGAATTTTCTACAATTTGAGGCATGAATTTTCACTTCAAAATACATTTTAAAGGCATAGTCAAAAAATATATAAATGAGCATATCAGAGTAAAATTATAAACATTCAAGATAAAGAAAAATGAATATAAAAATTACCAGAGAAATAAATAGGTGACTTACAAAGAAATAACAATTAAACCAATAGTAGATTGGTTGTTTACAGCAACAACACAGCCACATATCTCTGATCCTTATTGCTTTGGGTTTGAGTTGAAAAAAAAAACACACACACACACACACACAAACCAAAGAGCAAGAAAGGAGCCAATATCACTAAATGTAAATCTAAAAATTTTCTTTATGACAGAAGACACTATAGACTATAAAGAATGTTGGTAGTAAATAAAAACTATTGAAGAAAACGTCTGGACAATTGCTAAGTTGGGTACTCTAAGACCCTGAGACATTTTAGAGAAAATCTTGCTAACATACACAGGGAGACATGTAAAAGGAGGTTTACTGCAGTATTGTTGATAACAGAAAAAAAGTCAAACAATACAAGTGTCCAGTCTTGATATTCAGATTGGACAAGTTCAGCATAAGGAAAAAATATAGGCTGACTTAACTTATAAATACACATGCAAAAATTCTAAAAATAAATCAAATGTAATAATGTATAAAACCTCACTAATAGAGTTTAGTCATGCAAGGATGGTTCAACATCAGAAAAATCTATTAACCTAATATACTCTATTATCACAATTAAGGGGGCAAAATCCTTGATGTTCTGCTAACTATAGGAACAAAAATAATCTGGTGATACTTGATGCATTCATAATTGAAACTCTGAGCAAATTCAGAATAGAAGAGGAACTTTCTTAATCTGAGTAAAATCATCCAGGGGCGCCTGGGTGCCTCAGCTGATTAAGTGTTAAACTCTTGATTTTGGCTCGGGTCATGATTTCATAGTTGTGAGATTGAACACCGTGTCAGGCTTCATACTGAGCATGGAGCCTGCTTGCGATTCTCTCTCTATCTCTCTCCCTCTCTTAAAATAAATAAACCTTTTTTAAAAAGCCATGAAAAAGACCCCCACAGAATATATAATATAATACAATTGGTGGTTATTCTTTGGAAGCATTTTATTAAATACTAGAATACAACTGCTGCCATTATCAGTATTGCATTCAAACCAGAGGTTCAATTTGTTGTAAAAAGATTTAAAAAACCCAAAGATAAGAAAAGAAAATAAGTGTGAATTTTCTAGATGAAAATTTGCAAAAAAAAATTTAACAAACAATAAGTGAGTTCAGCAAAGTTGCTTATATAAGATTGACATGCAAAACAGGTGCTATTGTCCTCATGGGAATGAAATATTAATAATTAAAGATATTCAAAACTAGCTTGTACTCACCACACTATGTAAGCTTAATATTTAAAAACATTTTTTTTATAGATACATCTACCTTGGTTTGCCAGCAGCTCTAAGAGGATTAAGCTATATCCCAGCCTTTTTAATCCTAAATATTTTGAAGAATCGTCATCTACCTGGTGAAAATGCCTCTTCAGGAACTATGCTTACAGAGGCAAAAACTACAAAGAAGGAAAATGAGTGTAAAGATATGGACCAAAATTCCAAAGTTTTGAATGATAATGAGTTGAAAACTAAATTGTAATGCCCTATTATATCATGCTTCCCAGAGTTGTGGAATACACATAACCGAACTGCTTTTAAAATCAATAGGGGTAAGTGCGTAATTTTTTCTTATCTTTATGAACCTCAATTTTTTTTTACCCAAGATAAAAAAATGTTCACTGATGATATTTCTGAGGCATCTACGGCACTTGAAATTTTCCTCAGAGGACATTTATAACAACCTTCAAAACAGGATATTAGACCCAGTTTTATTTTTTATGTTAAAATAGCAATTTCTCTTTTAACTCATGTGAAATAAGGGTATATATCCCACATCTCCTTTTCCAATTGATCTTAAAAATTTCCTATTAGGAAAATCTGTTTAATTTCATTGAATTTCTGCTTTGTTATTGGGGTTAGAGACTGAAATTCTTATCCTGCTTACATGACTATTTAAATACTTTATTCAAGTTCATCATTTTTATGTAAAGAAGCTGATGTCTTCTAATTATTTAACTTTTCCTTAAAGAATTTTTCTTTTCTTTAACTGTTCTTTAACTTTTCCTATTCATTCCAGACATGATTGTTTTAAAAATAGATTACTCATTACTATGCCATCACCTACTATCAATTTGTTTTCTGCTTTATTACTCAAGTAATATATTTGCTCATTTTGTTCAGAATACTGAAAAACTGAGTCAGTTTATTAAAAATCATGTAACAAAGATTGTTGGAATTTTTTTTTAGCAGTTCAAACCTGGTGACTAAATTCTCTCTGAAAAACAAGTATCTGTGTCAAAGGATGAAAGTATAATATTAGAAAAAAATAATCCTTAAAAGTTATAGTGTCAGATATTGTCAGAGGAACATTTTCTCAGAAGACAGAGGGATTTATCACAAATAAAAAAAACAAGCTAAGGCCACAGCCAGAGAGCTAAGCAAAACAAATATAAATAACCTTCCTAATGGAGAACTTAAAGCAATGATCATAAGGATAGCCACTGGGCTTGAGAAAAGAAGACATCAGTGAGACCCTTACAAAAGAGATGAAAGAGTTAAAAAAAAAGTATCAATCAGAGATGAAGAATCAATAAATGATATTGAAAGCAGGCTTGATGTAATGAACAGCAGGCTGGAAGAAGCAGAGGGATGAATTAGTGACCTAGAAGACAAAATAATGGAAAATAATGAAAGTGAACAAAAGAAAGAATTATACAACCCAAGAATAGACTTAAAGAACTCAGTGGCTCCATCAAATTTATTACCATTCATATTATAGAAGTTTCAGAAGAAGAGGAAAGAGTAAAGGGGGGCAGAAATTTTATTTGAAGAAGTAATAGCTTAAAACTTTCCTAATCTTGGGAAGAAAACAGATATCCAGATCCAGGAGGCACAGAGAAGTCCCACAAAAATCAACAAAAGCAGGCCAACAATAAGACATATTATAATTAAATTTTCAAAATATAGTGATAAAGAAACACTCTTAAAAGAAGCAAGAAAAAAAAAGTATTTAACTTACAAGGGAAGACTCATAGGATAGCTGGATATTTCTCAACAGAAACTTGGTAAGCCAGAAGGGAATGGCATGGTATATTCAATATGCTGAATGAGAAAAATCTGCAGCTATGTATATTCTATCCAATTATCTATGCAACTATAGAAGGGAATTTTATAACATTCCACTGACATCAATGGATAGAACATCTAAACAGAAAATCAACAAGGAAACAATGGCTTTGAATGACATACTAGAGCAGATTGACCTAAAAGGTATATTCAGAACATTTCCTCCTAAAAGAGCAGAATTCACATTGTTTTCAAGTGCACATGGAACATTCTGAGAATAGAACTTATATTAGGCCACAAATCAGGCTTTAAAATTTTTTGTGAAGAATTGAAATCAAACTATGCACATTTTCTGACCGCAAGCTATGAAACTAGAAGTCAACCACAAAAAAAAAAAAAAAAAAAAAAAAAAAAAAAAAAAAAAAAAAAAAAAAAAAAAAAAAAAAAAAACAAAAAAAAAACTTGGAAAGACCACAAGTACATTGAGGCTAAACAACAAGCTACTAAACAAGTGGGTCAACCAGGAAATCAAAGAATAAAGGTAAAAAATACATGGAAACAAATGAAAATGAAAAGATAACACTCCAAAACCTTTGGGATGAGGCAAAAGCACTCTAAAAAGAGAAGTAAAGAGCAGTATAGGCCTATCTTAAGAAGCAAGAAAAATCTCAAATAAACAACCTAGCCTTATATCTAAAGGAGCTAGAAAAAGAACAACAAATGAATCCTAAAGCCAGCAGAAGAAAGGAAATAATAAAGATTAGAGCAGAAATTAATGATGTAGAAACCAAAACAAACAATATAAAAAACAAAAAAAACAAAAGACAAGCAAAAAGAAAACAACAAAAAAAACCCAACAATAGAACAGATCAGTGAAATCAGACACTGGTTCTCTTTGAAAAAAAATAATAAAATTGATAAACTTCCAGCCATATTTATCAAACAGAAAAGACAAAGGACCCAAATAAATAAAATCACAAATGAGAGAGTAGAAATAACAACCAACACCACAGAAATACAAACAATTATAAGAGAATAGTATGAAAAATATATGCCAACAAATTTGACTACCTAGAAAAAAAGAGACATGGTTTTGGACCCAGTGCTTTGGGCTCATTCTTATCTCCTCCTGGCAGATGGCATTTTACCCTGAGAGCATAGGGTTCTCTCTTGACATTTCTTGGTGGAGGAAAGAAACTTGGAGAAAGTAGTTGTTGGAGTGCTTTATGATCTAGGAGATCTGTGGAGGTCAGTTCTTGCTCTGAACACTTAAACTGCTTCATGATAGGGTAGACGTAATGTCATAGCAGATAAAAGTGGAGAAGAGAAAAGGAGAAGATAGATAGAAGGAAGCCTAGGATCACTTACTTTCTTAATTAATATTGTGGAGAGTCTAAGTTAATGGAAATAGAAATAGTAATTTAATGTGTTATTTATAATTCTAACTATAATCAATGCTTACAAGAACCAAAAAATAAGAACTTAAGAAAATATAAAAGTTGGGAATATATATGTAAAGGGAAAGAGAGGGAATAACTATTCTTCATATTTCATAACACGAAGTTAACAAATATTTTAAGCTTGATAAATTAACATAAAATTAGCATACACATATTATTAGAACTGCTTAAAATGGTTGCCTCTGCAGCACTGGACTATCAGGAGGAGAAGAAAAAATAATATATATGTCCTTCATTTTAGTTCATTTTGCACTCTGAATTTTCCCCCTGTGCATATAAATCATGGTTAAAAAATAGTACTTCATGAAGAATAATAACACATCAGCAAAAACAATAATAATATTAAAAAAATAAGATGATGCATTTACAGAAAGGGAAAAACTGAGTCTTCCAGTTTGAAGAGTTGTTGAAGTTCTTCAATGGGTGTTTATTGAACAACTACTTTTGCATTTGTTGCTCCTAGAGGATATATGGTCCTAGAGGTCCTGACAGTGATGGGAACTAACTAAGTGTAGTCTGTAGAATTTAAGTAGAATGAAAGTTGGCGCCATTTTATTAGGTGAATAAATATACACAGAAAACAATTATAGAACAACAAATAATAGCACAATGTAATTTCCAACACTGTGAATGTGTAACGGGTCACTGAGTAATCGGAGTTTTTGCATAAGCTCACCATTCAGGTCTTGGTGGGAAATGATGACACCAGATTGATAGAGAAAGAAAAAAAATCCAGTCCTAATTGAAGGAATAACTGAAGCGAATGAAGAATATCTCCTTTAACTACAGATATGAGTTATTGGCAGAAACTTGCTAATTGGTTTTTTTTTTCCAAAATAAAAAGACAAAACTTTCTGAGAATATATTTTGTGCTCTTTCTTCCTTCCTACCTGAACTGTGGATATTAGGCCTTGAGGAGCAAGAGCCACCTTGCAACCAGACAACAGGCATAAGAATGGAGACCAACATTTGAGGAAGGTGGAGCAGGAAGACAGCCAGAGCCTGGCCACCTGATGTAGTGCTGAAAATCTGCACCAGCAGGGTCAGGGCTAAGTTTTGTGGAATATTAAGGTTATAATGTAGAGTTTATATAGAAGAGAGCCTATATAAGAAAGCTTATAATATAAGCTTATAGAGAGGAGAGCCTATATAAGAAAAAATTAAATGAATACAAAATAAGGTTAAAAGTGAATATTTAAGATGAGAAAAAAACCCACAACAAATTCCATGTAATATGCTTCAGGACACAATCATGATAAAAAATGACAACAATAAAAAAACTTACTGCAAATATTACAGTTTAATAAGAAATGTTAAAAGCTTTCCTGCTGAGGATGAGTGTGAGAAGAAAACACTTGCTGTCATCATTTCCATTTAACATTATGCCCAATGTCCCAGCCAGAGAAACAGGAGGGGAAAAGAATGAATGAAAATTTGTAAGGATAGGAAAAGAAAAAATAAAATCATCAGTGACATGTTGTGTAAGCAGAAAATCCAAAAGTTACTAGACATAAACTGTCCAAATAAATGAATTGTAACAAATCTGGATACACAAAATCAAACACAGATTTTCAAGTATCAATAGCAATTAGGAAATGATATTAGTAAAGCATACTATGTAGTATAGTATCAAAAAAAAACCCACCACATTGAAATCTTAGGGATAAATCTCATAGCAGGTATCCAAGACCTCTACCCTCAAAGCTACAAGAGAGTATCCAGAGAAATGAATATCTATATCATATTTATTGGTTAAAATATTTAATACTGTAAGGATGTCAGTCGTTCCAAAATTTATCTACAGATTCAGTGAAATCTTAAACAAAATCCCAGTACTTTTTGAAATGCAGACACTGACAAGATTATTGGCTTTTACATGGAAATATAAAGGGTCAATGCAATCTTGAAGAAGAATGAAGTTGGAGAAGCCCAGCACCAGATACTAAAACCTATAAAACTAAAATAATTAAGGCAATGTGGCATTGGCAAGCAATCCCCCATCCTGGGTGCCACC